TGTGTATACAAAAAGGTATGTATATTGTCATTGTAAAACAAAAAACAAGTTAAATTTTTTTTTTCTTCATGTTAATTGTTTAAATTTTTTCTAGAGCCAATGAGGCTCTTTAAAGAAGTTTCTTCCAAAGAACAAAGACAAAGCCAGGTAATGACTTTAAATTTAAATACCTTTATTGTCGTTGTGCCTTTTCTACCACACTGGATTAAATAAACTGGTCAAAAGTATGGTTCTGTCAGTTTTTAGGACACTCAGTAATTTGTCATTCATTCTTCCATGTACCTGTTAGTAGTACATATGGCCAACAGGTAGGTCTCATGTTTGTGTGGGTGTATAAAGGCCTAGACTACCTGGAGCAAACACTCTGTCCAGAGGGACAACGCCAGGCTTTCCTTTTCCTCATCTGTAGCAAGTTTCAGGTCCTTGACAGAAATAGCTGAACTGTCCCAAATTTGCTTCAGTGCATCCACATGAGATAAAGGAAAGCGAAGTCCATGAGCCTAAAAAGGACAGACTGGTCAGACAGAATACTACGGGCGTCTCTGAAGCGACACTTTCATATAAACTCCCAACCCCTCCGTGAAGCATTATTTTTGATACCTACTTGTTTCAGAAAGGCCCAGCTATTCACATAACTTAGAGAACCACCCACTCCCGTACAAAAACACAGACTTCATGAAGGCCTCCTAGCAATGCCTCATAGGACATTCCATCTTCCCTGCAGTCTCCATGTCCCAGCGAGTGTCTGTCCATCTCAGAACTGTGGGACCCGGTCATCCCCTCGCAGGGCTCCGCCTGCACGGCAGCCATAGACGAGCGCATTGCCCCTAAATCAGAGGTAACGGACTCCTCCCAGCCACCCCCGAACCGCGGGGAAAATGCTCGCTTTAGTCTGGAACAAACCTCAGCTTCCTCGTTTCCCATCATGTGTGTGCCTCTCCTGTTCTTTAAGGAATGGTAGATGTAAACCATCTTTTCCTGAGTTTCATCCTTTCAAAAGAAAAGCAGTAAGTTATCAGCAGAATGTCAAGGGCTTCGTTACTAGGAGGGTTTTCCAATGTAGGTCAACCCCAAGAAAAATCTCAAGGCCTCAGTGCTTAAGTGAGATTTATTGATGACTAAAGAATCGTATTGGCAAAAAGTTAGGATAGATGTGTGTATTGAACAGGTAAAACAGTACACCTGCTAGAGCATCTTCAGAAATAATTTAGTGAAAACAAACATTTATATAGCAACATAATGAAACCTGTACTTTCTTGCATCAAAATTTGACATTCCCAGGTATATAAAAATTTAAAATTTATGAAAACCAGCTATGTGATCTATAAAAACTTTCATTCCAATTACAGTAGCCTCCCAAGTGATCTCTACTTCCCTTCCCTCCTACACAGTGCAGTTCACTCTCTCCCCGGGCCTGTCATTCCCTGTCCTCTTAGATGAGGCTCGAACACCTGGGCCTCATATAGAATGTTTCTAAACTGATTGGTTATCATAGTAACTACGATTTTTTTAATGAAGGTGTGTACTTTTGAGGTCTTGTGTATATTAGGCCTGGCCCTAATAGCTGGAGCAGTCTAGTTATAGAGACGTCAACATGCTCCTCTCATCACCTCCAATCACTCATGGGGTGCCCTCCCGAGAAAGCTGATTAGGGAGAACTGGGTGAAGCCATAGGGCCTGGGACAGTTCCAAAGGTCCTTTAACAAATGCAGAGGCTCCGACCAAGACAATGCAGCCCAGGAATTTATAATGTAAAACTTGGCCGGCTGCTTCTACAATCAGCCAGTTTGGGGAACTACTGGGCCAGGTTATGGAAAGTAGAATATCTTTCTACAGAACAGGGATTTAAAGAAACATCAACTAAACTGTATGTCAAGATGGATCTGCACAGTGTACAGGATGGGAGAGGGAATGAGGGAGGGAGACTTGTGAACGGTCTACAGTTGGCTGAGCAACATGGCCTGAAACCTAACGGTGCAAAGACCAGGCATTAACCACTACGTGAGAGGATGAGGGTGAACCCTCAATGCCCACCAGGCAGGGACATCTGGAACAGCGAGGTCTGGGCAATAGCTGCTCTAAAGCCACAGCACTGAGCTGTGAGAACAGAGATTCCTACAGGGGAAGGGCAGGGGCACCTGAGACCCGTGTGGAAATGCCCTGAGGGGAGGAAACCTACCCCTCTGGATACTCACAGATGCCCCCTGATCTGGCATCACCGTGAGGACGATGTGGTCTCTAAACTGCAGCCTCACGACGCTGTCCAGCCTCGGCAACTGTCCACCTGGAGAATCCAGAGACAAAGCCAGTTTTCAGAAGTGGAAGCCAGCAGGATCCAACTTGTTTAAGGAACACATTTGCTAACAATCTGCAGTGAATCCAAACGGGTGCCCCTCCCACTCCGGTGTTTGCTTACGCTGACGTTTACAGTGACGTTGATGTATAGTTTACATCCTTATGTACATTAAAGAGAAATAGAGACAGGCTCCTGCCCTTCTACACAGAGCTCGTCTCCAGTTTCTGTCCTCTGTTGCTGCTTCATCTACACGTGTACTCCAGAAGGGACACCTGAATCCAGATTGCACCACCCCACCCACCTATTACTAGCTGCGTGACGATGGCAAATTGTTCAGTGTGTGTAGGTCAAGCAAGTGTCATGTAAAAGCCGCATAGTAATGCTTACGGGAGGAAAAAAAATACTTTTCCAAATTGGAAAAAGCAGCCTTAAAGGCTCATCTTTCTTGAGAAAAGACTTACAGGATCATAGTTTATTGACTGTAATGGCTAAGACAAGGAAAACTAGAAAAATATTCTGACCCATCAACTAATACTTAGAAAACTCTGTTAAGTATTAAAATATGTGCAGGTAGCCCAGCCCATGTGGCTCAGTGGTTGAGCATCAACCTACGATCCAGGAGACAGAGGTTCAATTTTCAGTCGGGACACATGCCCGGGTTTCAGGGGGGGTGCAGGGGGCAATCAATCAATGATTCTCTTATCATTGATGTTTCTCTCTCCTCCTCTCTTCCTCTCTGAAATAAAAATAGATTTTAAAAATATATGTGATGGTAAAACATTTATTCTTTTGAACAGATACAATAAAAATTCCTAAACTTCCCCCAAAGATATAATATAAATAGAATCAGTGTTAGAAGGGATTGTTTATTCCAGTGGTTCTCAACTGGAGATAAATAAGGCTTTTTTAAAAGTAAAAATTATACTTTCACTCAACCCCACTGAGACAGAGGAAAGCAGCCTGAGCGCGGCCTGGCCCACAGCTCTCGAGAACATCAGGCAGGCGGCTCCACAGAGACCAGTTAATACACAGGCCGCTCTGACTGTGAGATGGAGAGAGAAGCAGGACCACTGCATGGTCATGTCAGGACTCAGGCAAAAGAACACCGTCCAAACTGCACAAGTGACCAGACGGCCCCTATCCTGGCTAATCAGGCTGCTGTTGCTTTACCAGTTGTCACTTGAGCCTCATTTCAGTCCTGCTACTGGGTCAGATGTACGAGACCCAGTCAGAATCCCCCTACTTCCTGACAGCATTCATCCCAGAGCAAAGCCCCGCTTCATACCCTCCTGAACATCGCCCAACTCAAGCCCCTTTACTGAGAGTGCCCACAATTCCCAGCAGAGTGTGGTTCTCTACGTTGCAACCGGTCAATAAACCCGACTTCGACCACAGGAGTGTGTGTTGCTGGTCTTTGCTATAGGACATGAAAATCACCATCCACCCAGATGTGTGTTAGGTCATTTGCAGCCTAAACCTGTCACAAAATAGTCACCTGGGACTTGGGGAAGGTCAGTGACAACCTTGGGCATATTCATATTTCACCAGCTGATGACAGACAACATTTTGCCCATCCCTGAGTTAATTCCAATGAGATCTCAATGTTTAAGGACTTAAAACTCCTGAAGATGGTGAATACCAGAGGACCTATAAATACACATATTTCTCACCCCAAATCACAGAGCTTTCATTCCCCATTATGCTGGGGTGCAAGGTCTTTGCAAATGACTTGTGAGATGCAGGAAGCTAAAGCATGTGTACAGCATGTGCTGCCCAGCCACACACACTAGAGATGGATCCAGCTCCACATTAATTCTAAAATGCTTCAACTTTCCATGTGCTCAAAGAGAGGTCCACCCAGGAAAGCCTCCAAATACCCCACGTTAGCCCCTAACCACCCAAAAGAAAACATCAAGCTCCACCTGGTGTCAAAAGCTCTGCTCCGTCGGCCACGTAGTAAGGTGGGAGTCTGTTCATAACAAAATCCTTCTTCATGTCTGATGACAGCAGCTTATTGGTGCCTTCCAGACGGTCTGCAAGCGTCCTCAGAAAGCCACTCAATCTTCTTCTTGCAGCAGTTGTGGTTTCCACCTGCTAGAAACAGAGGGGAGTCCTGGCCCAGATTCCAGCAGAACTCAGCGCCTAGGTCCATCCCCAGAGCAGTTCCTGGTATAGACACAGATCCATGCCCCCCCAGGGAGGAGCTGAGGGAGACTAGAGCCCCTAAGAACAGTATCTCATTATGTCCTTGTAATCACTGTTCATCTTAAGATGCCTACTATTTGAAAAAAAAGATCCATTTTTAGGATTTTGCCTGGAAGGGGATCCCTGGAAATGAAGTCTTGGCTCTTGCCTTTCAGAAAGCAAGTCACTCTCCTAAGGTGACTGCTAAGGACAGTGAGAGCAACCTTTGCCAAATTCAGCACTGATTCACCCATCTTCTCAAATCCAGCCAAACAGAGGTGCTGTTTCCAATGTAAAACCGGGATGGACAAGAAAGCCGGGGAAGCAGCAGAGTCAGGCTCTCCCCTGGGCCCCTCCTAACGAGTAATCTTGCATTTGCTGCATCTACAGTTCTAGCCACGTCATGTATGCAGCCATTTCCTCAGCCAACATTCCCACAGCGCCTGCTCCTGCCGCCACGAAGGCTGCCTGCACAGCTCCGTGGGTTCTCTGGGTCACACAGAACGTGTGGCACTATGTTCGTTCTGCAAACACCCAGCTCAGCAGGGTCAGCACGGAGAAGGGACAATGGCTGGCGTGAGAAGAATGAGCCTGGGGTCGCTCGGATGTCGGCCATGGCGGGGCTGGCCCGGCTGCGAGTCCCACTCCTTCCCCACCTGCCTTTCCCCCTTACCAGGAGTAGCTGCCGGGGGATGCCCGCCCTGAACGCTACGTCTTCCTTTGCGGCATCAAACACAAGCCCCGAGATGGTGTCCAAAAGGAAATCTCCCCACGAACTGGAACACACACCACCAGAAACAAAAGTGAATACACACAGAATATACAGAAACCACTGATTTCTAGTAAAGCCAAACGCTACAAAAAGAAGCTTCCGTCGCATTCCAGCCCCTCTGCCCAGGCATCCTGCGTTCATCAGTTTGACGTGACTCAGCATAAAAACCTAAGTGCTGGGTCACTCACGCTGTTCCCTCCCTCCCCTCTCCCAGCCTCTCCCAGGGAAGTTAGGGGTGGGAAGCTAGGCTTTATTCATGATTTCTCTTAAAGACAGCAGACATTTAAACATATACTGTCATAAGGTAGAAAATTTAAGGGAGAGCTTTTTTTAAAAAAATACATCTTTATTGATCTCAGGGGACAGGAGAGGGGGGGAGAGAGAGAGAAACAGCCCCCAACTGGGAATCCAGCTGTGATCTCCTGGATCCTAGTTGACGCTCAACCACTGAGCCATGCCCAGCCGGGCCAAGGGACCAATTTTTTTTAATGTTTTTAACTGTAACAAATGTCTACGAGGAGAGCTTTGTAGAAAATTTTAACAGTCATTATAGGACCAAAAACTAAACTTTATGTACAAAACCCAAAAGCTATACATTTAGGTAACAGCAAGATCCCCGGACTGTGTAATTATCTGCAGTTACACGTTACATTTTCCGTCTCTCCTCATTAAAGAGTGGCACTCCTCAGTAAAACACCCATCAACACCAATTTCAAAAGAATCGATCTTGCAACTTGCTAAACTCTAGCAATGGTTTTACCGAGGCGAGTCAGTGTTCAATGACCTTTGCTTTCTCAGGGGCATTTAGAATTGGCTCGCCCCTAAAAGTGCCAGTGTGAGAAACACACTCCGAGGGGTTGCTCTCTTTAAACATTTCTTATCTGTTTAAAATTTTCTTCTGTGTCACCAGCGGATCTATGTGCAAAATGGAAATTCACAGTATGACTTCTGCTTCTCACTCAGTAAGCAAATTAACATGTTTATGCTTCCCTCCCAGGCAAGCGGCAAAGAACAAAAGCCACATGAGAGCACTTTCCCCAAGACATCCGCTACCACTGGGTGCCGTGGGCCCCCCCCCCCATGACTTAATATGCCCCCAACCTCACATCCTTGATTGAACTTCAACCTGGGGGACACATGCAGATCTTTCAGCCACACAAAACCACCTCTTCCTCTGCAGGGTCACAGGTGGGAGTCATGCGGCTGGGCTCCCGGAAGACTTTAACCGCAGTTAAACAGAGCTCTGTGCTTTCTGAGAGTCAGAGTGGATCTTGGGCCTTTCCTGAGTTTGGGGATAATACCTCTTAAGGAGCTCACTTTGGTAAAACAGCCCATTCACCTGTTGCTGTCCCACCCAACAGGCCCAATGTTCCAACATGCTACCCTAAAGGGGTGTTGGGGAGAGGCCCCCAAGCCCTCACCCTGCCACAGCGCCCTAAGGAGCACCGGGCCACCTCCAGGGTGCGGTGGTCCTTCAGTTATTTTCCCCCTTCTAGTCGGGCACCACTGACAGACCCGTCCAGCCTAGACAGTGGTCATGGTGCTATCCACAGCTCTGCCCCAGCCCCAGCCGACTAGAGAAGGGCAGGGTAGGACCCAGGGGCAGGCTACCAGATCCCCATTCTCAGGACTGGGAAATGGCAAGTCAGACACTTAGCAGAAGCACAAGCTAATGGGTTCAATGGGACGGGGAGGTGGAGAAGTGATGCTGGCTCATAATGAGCCAAAGTTGTGAGTAAACAGAAGCTGAGGAAGGAAAACAAGGGAGAGAAAACCAATTACTAGAAAGCCAGCTGGTGGCGGCAATGAGAAGTGAAAAAGGCCAGAGAATCCGGGAACGGGAGAGTGGCTGTACTCGGGACACCAGAAGACACGTGGACATTCACGTCCAAACTACGTGGCTGCCAAGGCCCAGAGCTCCTTTGCATTCAGGATTAACTTCTGGTTCCAGCCTCCCTGTGGCCTGCCCTGCTCCCAGTTCCTACAGCCCACTCCCTCAGTGGTCTCTGCTCTTCTCAGGAGGTGGCCTCGTTGACTTTCCATTCCTCGCTAAGCAAGGCAACTAAACAACAGGCATTTTTCCTAAAGGAAGCCCCGCCTCGGGCCAGGCTGCAGCTAGTTCCTGCAGTGTCTTAACCACCAGGTTAATTTCACACTGAAATGCCAGAGAAGGAAGCAGAAGCAGAGGTATGCTTACAAACTTGTTTTGCAAGTTACAGCTTTGAAGGTAGGAGCCTTGCTGTCCCTTGGGCCAGGGCCGTCCTCTCCTACTCTGACCTTCTGACCCACCTTCTGATTCATCCTTTGAGTGTCAAGCCATTTTGGACTACAGGAGCCTGAACTTGGGAAATCCCCAGGGTTACAGAGCCAGTTTCGTGACATTCCCAGAGGAAGGGCCGGTGGGCCAATGCACAACGGACACTAAAGGAATATGAAGTCAGCCAAGGAGCCTGAACCCCCCCCCCCAGGCCTGGATAAGTGCAAGGGTAGAGGCCAATTCCCTCGTGTCCTGCGTGACCACAGCCAGGAGCTGTCCCAGGACGCCAGGCTGGGAGGCAGGGTGTTCACCTGTTCTGGTAGGTGCTGATGGTCAGGTGAGTGGAGTGGGCCAGCCCGGGCGGTGTGTCCGCTTGGTGAATGGTCCCTCTGGGGAAGTACAGCAAATCACCAGGCTGAAGGGAGACATAGAAAAGGGGAGAGCTAATAAGCACAGCTTCTCAGTCCTGTGTTTTACGGAGACAAATACAGTGGCTTTGAGTTTCAGGTCTCCCTTCTAGAAACCTCTGGCTAGTGTGCAGGGTCCTGCGGGCTCAGCTTCACTGTGTCTGTGAGGCTGTCACTGTCACCCCAGTCCTGGCGAGGCGCTCAGTACCTGAAGCCACTTTCTTTATTCACAAACTAAGACCAGATCTACCTGAAACTATGCTGCCCAGACCTCGGGATCAAGGAATTGATGCTTGGGGCCTGGGAACCCTGCTCCCTTCTCCACCCTTTGGTGGTGCCTGGAGAGTAAGAGCTTTAGAGCCACACAGCAAATTACCTACCCTCCTGAAGCCTGTTTCTTTATCTGTAAAACGGATTTGGCAACAGCTCCAAATCTCACAGGATTACCTTGAGGGTTAAAGGAGATGCCATATCCAGAGCTCTCGGGGAATGGTGGGTGTGGGGCTGTTATAACTACTGTTTTACCCGCCAGGCCCTGACAACGTGTGAGCTCTTCCAGGCAGAGTCTATATCCGTCTATATTCCCAGAAGCTAGACTACCAGAGCATCCAGCACACAGGACAGCCTCAAGAAATGTGTCAATCAAAGGATGAAACACCATATAACCCTTCACCTGAAACTAAAAACTAGACGGAAGTAAAGATCAGGCACTTCCTTGGGAAGGTGAGCCGCCTCCACCCTGCCTGGCTCTCTCTCACGCCAGTGGACATAAATACCGTCCCCNGTTATAACTACTGTTTTACCCACCAGGCCCTGACAACGTGTGAGCTCTTCCAGGCAGAGTCTATATCCGTCTATATTCCCAGAAGCTAGACTACCAGAGCATCCAGCACACAGGACAGCCTCAAGAAATGTGTCAATCAAAGGATGAAACACCATATAACCCTTCACCTGAAACTAAAAACTAGACGGAAGTAAAGATCAGGCACTTCCTTGGGAAGGTGAGCCGCCTCCACCCTGCCTGGCTCTCTCTCACGCCAGTGGACATAAATACCGTCCCCAAGTCACTCCTGCCCTGAGCTGCCTCCTCCCTAATGCCCCAGACCAAAGACACTCCGTGTAGCAGCTGCCAGAGGAGAGGAGAGGGGCTCCTGAGAGCCGCTTCTCTCCCGTCTGCAACCACGGGAAGCAGTCTGGCTCACTGGTTAAGAGCATGGACCCTAGAGGGAGAGCTCAAAAAATATCAGATCTAAAAAACTGGTTTTTTAAATGTTAAGATTTGCCTTAAAGCAAGAAACAATATACAATTATTCATATTCAAAGAACTATCTTGGAGGCTTACTTGCCATGAACCAAACTGACAGGGAAATCGGCAGTTCGAATACATAAATGCTTTCCTCATACCTAGAGCTAGCCTTGCTGGGTGTTCCGGGGCCAGCCCTCTGAATGGGGCCCTCACACAAACGTTTCATTAGTTCATTTATTTATTCATCCACAAACATCCGATTAACACTTCCCCTCCGCCCCCACCCCAGCCAGGCCCTGTGTCAGGCACTGAGCAAANATTCATTTATTCATCCACAAACATCCGATTAACACTTCCCCTCCGCCCCCACCCCAGCCAGGCCCTGTGTCAGGCACTGAGCAAATCAAAGACCTGCCGTCGGGCGGTACTTCCAAAGAGCAGACAAACATTTGAGAAATCAGAAGAGATCATAAACACAGCGAAGACGCACTAGCGGAGGAAGGTAGATTAAAAAAAAAAGTAGCAAATAAATAATGTCGAGTGGTGGTGAACACGCTGCCAACACAAATAAGCAGAGGAAGGGAGGGCGTGATGCTGATGGAAGCGGGGGCGGGCGTGCCTAGGGTAAGAGGTGCCGTTTTATCCCAAACAGTCAGTGGGAACTCGCTCTGCTCGCGGGACATCTCAGTAGAGACTGTAGGAAATGAGTGAGCCAGCCACTGACGCCTGCGGAGAAAGGACTGGGGCCGGAAGAGCAACGGCCGAGCTCCCGAGTCTGGGCCAAGCTTGGCGCCTTCGCGGAGCAGCTGGGAGCCAGTGTGGCTCCGGGTAGAACATGAGGGTGGAAATGATGGG